CTTTGTGCCCCCCTACCACGGTGCTGTGTGGGTTAAAACCCCTTTAGCCACTTACCTGAATCCAGCACCATGTCCCTCGGCGCTGGTCAGGCTCCGCCCACGCTCCTCCCCTGCTGGGGAGACCAAAGGGCATGCGTGGCCATTAGGATGTGGCCGCACTCACGTTAGGATTTTCCAAAGGAAAGCATTATTCAATACTTTGCTATTGTAAGAAATTGACATGCAAACCTACAATATTGTATATAACTTTCTGTGTATGTGACTGGTTTCACAAGTTGGGGTCATCTATTTGACAACAGTGTGATAATGATGAAAAATTTCAGTTGCATTTTACAGCACCCAGCCAAAACAAAATCTTACATCCCTCCAGCAGTTCTCCTGCCAACCAGTTTTCCATGCATGTTAGCAGAAGATCAGAGTAATGAACATCTGTATGTAACCATGGAAATATGAGTTTTCCCAAGCTATCCTGTCTCTAAAAGAAGTCCAGGTCTGCTCCCAACCTACCCAAAAACCAACCCTAACTGGTCACATCTTACACAATGAACTCTGAAAAAAGGGGCTCGATAAACAGTTTTGGGAGGGAAAAGGGATTCTGGGACTTGTAGTTAAGGACTGCAAAAATAAGTCTTTAAAAGAACAACAGCCAAGGAGGTTGGGCTCCTCTCCTCTCTTTGTCTCTTTTGGAGGACAGAGCAGCAAGCAGTGGTGCCATGGTGAACTGAGAGAGACTATTCCAGACTACCAAAGATGATGGCGCAAGGGGATGATCTTCATTTAAATGTCTACGTTTTGCCCTTTTACTATGTATTTTGATTATGTACTGGATATAATGTATAATGTGTAATGTGTATATCCTTTTTAAAATCTGTAACAGTATCCTAAATCAATATTAACAATACATTTTATTATACACTCGTGTTTGTGTCTTATTTGTCACACATTCCCTAAAAGAATATCCTTGTAAGAGGGTCATAATTTCTTACACTATGGGTAAAAATTAGAAGCTGGAGGTATAATGCAGAGCGTGAAGACGTCCAGCGTCAGATAACAGATCAAAGGTCCGTTTCAATTCCGGAAGCGCCCCCAGTGGCTGGTGGACATTGCAGCACTAAATGCAATAAGGACAATTAGCTGAAGTGGTCTGGGTGCCTACAGTGTCCCTTTAAACAAGAAAGAAAAGATAAGAGCTGGAATGTTCTAAGTGGATGTATGCAATGAAGTAACACAGTTAAAATGAAATTACATTTTGAAATTAATACCATTTCAGTTTGCAACCGGGTGCCTCCATCTTAGCTCCCTGCCAATCATTGGTACAAGCTCTGTCCTTTGCACCTGGCTGTCAGCAATCAGAGAAGAGATGAAATGAAACAACGTTTCTATGTCTCCTCTTCCACTGCAACGTTTGCCGTGACTATGTCTGTACTGAAATGGATTATGATGTAACCTGCCGATTATTTCATATAACTTATAAAATAAATAAAATATAAATTAGAAAAATAAAAATAAAAATAAAATTAAATAAAATATGGACCATCACATTAAAAAAGGTTAACACAAGTTATAGGTGATTTTCCATGTTTTATTCAATAATATAATTTCCAGAGAAGTGACGGTTAGTTTCCCTTTAAATGAAATTAAACCACATGGAAAAAAAATGCGTTTCATATAGAGGTTGTTATGTTGCTTGTCTTGTATCATTAATTAAACATCTGTTGATAAGAAGCACTCTGTAATACTTGATAGTATTGGGCCCGTACTCAGCGCTGGTGGATCTAACATTATTACCCATATGGATCTTATCTTCTGTCATTACCAGAGAGCATGGCTTGTTTTATGAGCGATGAGGTATTATAACAAACTTGACTAATACGATTTACAGTCGCCAGCTGAAAACAACAAATCGCACTAAACAATGATGTAACAGATTACCATTTTTTCGTGCGGACTTTCCGAAGCCGATTTGAGCAGAGCGATATGTTTTATGTGAAAATTACAAACATACGATTGCAGCATCTTTAATAACTTTGTTTGTTGGACGAATTTTGGAACGCCGGGCTAGTTTTTGGAATGTAGAACTGGTGGGAGTTGTTCCCTTTATCAAATGAATTCCCAAAAGCTTGTTCCAAAACAAATATTACTGTAAGATATTAAAATACTCCATTATTTTGCAGTGAGATAACACGGCTAATCCAAATACAGTATTTTCTTGCTGTTAAGCCAGTAGTAGAATAAAAAGGCAGAGTGCGTTTCTAACCACTCTACCCTGGCCATGTTTCCATCTCCCCCAAGTGTATCTCGGTTTTCATACCTCTATACATATTTGGGCACTGTGTTTGTATTCTCCTCTCCCCACCTGCTGTATCCATTTCCCCAGCCTCCAACATTCCCTTTCTCTGTTGCATATTCCTGCCATCCATCTTTTTACATCTTTTAAATGATCTAATTTCTACCATTGTCCTTCATATAATGATAATTATATACTTCTGTTTTCTTTTTCTTTTTGTATATACTGTTAGCTTTATAATGATTACTACAATTTATTCCAGGGGATTTTTACGATGTAACCTCTACATTTAAAAACAAACAAACAATTCTATATTATTAATGATCTAGTGTGGTGAGGGCAAGATATCTATTACAAAGATGATTGTAGGAACCGCACTCAATCCCAGCAGCCACCGGTGCTCCGGAACAGGACCAGCAAACCCAACACATCAAGGCAATAAAGATATTTCCAGGCACTCAAAGTGTTAAAGCCGCACCCTAAACCAGAGCTGGATATTAGCTCTGTAGATTGTGAGTATTACTGATTACCACTTTTTGTTTTCCATTTTGCCTACATACTGTACCATTGGAGTTTTTCTTGTGTTCTTTCTCCCCATATGCTCCACCGAATTTCAAGTGAAGAGCTTCTCCATCCTATTGTATCGCAAGACTTCTCCCTATAAACGTGGATTACATCATTCTGGATTTATGATAAGTCATTTGGACTATTACTATTATTTCTATCATTTGTTTTGAGGCGCACCCTCTTCTGTTTTGTGTTATTTTGTGTTACCACAGGCAGATTTTTAATGGAACAAAAAAATCAGCAACGTTTCGACGTTCACAGAAGTTAGCTTGAAAAAGACCTCTGTGAAGGACGAAACGTTGCTGCTTTTTTTGTTCCGTTAAAAATCTGCCTGTGGCTTTAACACTTTGAGTGCCTGGAAATGTATTTTTTGCCAGGGTAAGATATCTAGGCCTAAGCCAGCACAGATCCGCGTAACCAGTGGAGGTATTTATGAAGATAGGACCCGAGGAGCAAGACATTTTTTGTTGGATTAGGGCCACCTCCTAGAATCCTGGGCTCTGTTTCTGTGAGTGCTGTGTGTTGACTAAGTGTTGTGTGTGTGAGAATGAAACAAATCTAGTCTAGTTCTTGGGTAATTAGAGAAATGTTCACAGAGACAACTAACCTGTTTTATGGTTAAATACGTTCTAATAGCAATGACCTAAAGTATTACAATTGGTGTTTGTTAGTTTAATTGGAGGAATCTGTTTAGAATGGTAGCAAAACGTGTTGTTATAGACGACACGTTCTAACAATCTCAGTGACTCCCAGAGTTACAGCGATCACAGATAAACAATAACAGTGAAAGGTAGGTTGGGAAATTGGACGAGATCAAAGCACAATGACACAGTATGGATATATACCCATTCTATGAATGTGAAGGCAGAAGAAACAATGAGCTATTAGAGGCCATACCATCCAAGCCTCACGGTTTCTAGGCTGTGACCGCTTTACAAGCTAAGAACTATAATTGTATCTTTATTGCTCTTTGCTGTAGACCTGTTAGTTATTTCTCAGAATAAAGCTCAGTAGGGATTCTGACAAACACAAACGAGTATTTCTTAATCTGTTGAAGAACTGCATCTGCAGAAAATCTATACTCTTTAAATAAACTTTATTATAATACTTCCTCTGTATCAATTCTTTTATTTATACATAGTGCCACTCCTGTAAATTTCTAAAAGTTATCCAACTAAACATGTACTTAACTTTAGTCCAGCGCTGACAGCAGGCCCGGACTGGCCATCGGGCATACCGGGCAAATGCCCGGTGGGCCGCGATGGCCGTGGGGCCGAGGCCGGCAGGGGATCTCCCCGGCCGGCCCCTGCAGGGTCAGCGCTATCCGAGCGCCGGCCCTGCTATGTGAATCCATGGGCCGGTGGGGAGATCAAAGATCTCCCTCACCGGCCCACAGACAGGGAGATGCGGCCGCCGGCTGGGTGAGGGAGGGAGGAGAGAGGACCGGCGGAGCTCTAACAAGCAGCTCCGCCGGGTCCTCTCGCGGGATTCTGAGCGTTGCCGCGGCAACGCTCAGATCTCGCGAGAGTGAACTCTAACCTGCAGGTTAGAGTTCACTCTCACCACTGGACCACCAGGGAAGGCAGCATGGCTCCCCCTCAAGGCACCCCTGGCAAAACGGATCTCTTCCCCCCCCCCTCCCAGGATAAAGGTAAGAAGGGAGGGGGGGGGATATATATATTTTTTATTAATAAAATAAATATTTAAATTTAAATAAAAAATACATTCACACTCTCACACACACAGCACCCCCAGACACACACAGCACCCCTATACACAGCACCCAGACACACACAGCACCCCCAGACACACACAGCACCCAGACACACACAGCACCCCCCAGACACACACAGCACCCCCAGACACACAGCAGACACACACAGCACCCCCACACACAGCACCCCCAGACACACACAGCACCCAGACACACACAGCACCCCCAGACACACACAGCACCCAGACACACACAGCACCCCCAGACACACACAGCACCCCCAGACACACACAGCACCCGCAGACACACACAGCACCCAGACACACACAGCACCCAGACACACACAGCACCCAAGACACACACAGCGCACCCCCAGACACACACACACAGCACCCCCAGACACACACAGCACCCATACACAGCACCCCCAGACACACACAGCACCCACAGACACACACAGCACCCAGACACACACAACACCCAGACACAGCACCCCCCAGACACACACAGCACCCATACACAGCACCCAGACACACACAGCACCCAGACACACACAACACCCAGACACAGCACCCCCCAGACACACACAGCACCCAGACACAGCACCCAGGCACACACAGCACCCCCAGACACACACACCACCCAGACACACACAGCACCCAGACACACACAGCACCCAGACACACACAGCACCCCAGACACACACAGCAC